CTCCCTTCTTACTGTTCGTTCCACAGAACGTAAGCGACCTGCAAGTATAATTTGTCATATGGTTTTTTTATAACTAGGGTCTAGGAACATTTTAGACACTGCTGGTTAGTGGTTGCTTTCCCCTTGGGCACATAGTAATGTATGAAGTAAAATATTAATAAACAATATCTATTAGCATTTTTAAGTCAATTATTTTTTATTAAAATGTAATATTATTATTTTACCTTCTAGATTTCTCTTCATAAATTATCCTTGGTGACGTACTCTCAGCAGCCACTCTACTTCTTAGAGTAACCAAAAAATTTCCAATCTCCACATCATCCCCTGGCCTGTGGTTGTGAATAATGATGCTGGAGCATTTTCTAGTTCCAGAGCCATTGACGCTGTTGCACGACATCAGCGTTCGTATCTCGTACACCTTAGCAAAGGCGTAGACAGGGGGGCTAAGGGGGCTATAGCCCCCCCCCCATTGACTGTGTTAACTTTAAATTTTATTTTACAACTAACTTTATAACTTTTTTATTTTTATTAAGATGAAATATAAAAATATCAACAACAATTAAAATCTCAACGCAGGGGTTTGAGTGGTTTGACTAATGACTGTGAAGGATAATTTGTGATATTATTACTATATATTAATATAATTTATTTTACTATTAGTAATTACTAATTTGGGATATTTGAGCTAATTTTATTGGAAAGTAAATAAATTGCAATCTACTAATTTATGTAAAAACGGATAAATTTGGATATTTTGTTCTAGATTCTCGTGTTGTCTCTATTGCCAAACGCATAAATGTATAATGATTTTATAAACATCTATGCAGATGCGTCATGATTACAATGAATATAATTTAATTTCAAAGCATTTCAAAGGCAATTTTACAATTATAAGGCGTTGCAGATAGGCCATTAAACGTACTTTTCTGTCGAAACTGATGTTGTTTTTCAAAAATGGAAAATTTTAAACAGCTTTCATGTAGAATTAGTGAATTTAGTGGCATAATTAACTAGAGTTCCAGAGCCATTGACGCTGTTGCACGACATCAGCGTTCGTATCTCGTACACCTTACCATTTATTTTACTATTAGTAATTACTAATTTGGGATATTTGAGCTAATTTTATTGGAAAGTAAATTGCAATCTACTAATTTATGTAAAAACGGATAAATTTGGAGATTTTGTTCTAGATTCTCGTGTTGTTTCTATTGCCAAACGCATAAATGTATAAAATGTACAAAATACATAGAATAATATATTTTTTTTTGTTATATTATATTATAATGTAGGTACCTAGTTGTTCCTAAGTAAACAACTTATTGTGAACATTATTTATTTTGTGCATGTGGCGCGGCGTGTTTTTTTTGATATATTCGATTTTTAATGACTTTAAGAAAAAAAAAAACGTATAAATGTAAAAAAATGTTGGAACTTCAAAAAACGTGAAATAGAATAACGGATGATCGTTACAACACACATATTTGAAAACTGAGTACCTATATTACTTGAATCCTGTATTATTATATACTAAACTTATTTGGTTGATATTGATATAAAAAACTAAAGTGACCATGAAACCAAATCAGATAACGAGTAGAGACTAGAGAGGTATATACTTACCTGAACCCTTGAACCTGTAACTTGAATTTTAAATCTACTATATTTAATTACAACTTGTCCGACTCGGCTACAATAGTCAACGAGATATAAAATCAATTATTAACGCATTTAAGGCGATTAATACAATATTTATTTATAAATGATTACAAATTATTAAAATATAATTAATTTAAACAAGTACCTAAACTAGTAAATGATAACATATTATGATTTAGACTGATTACAATCACAAACAAGTGCAGATTTTACATATTCGTTTTTTACATTTTCTATAAATTCATTACCCTTACAAAGTAAAACAAATATACATTAGGATTCCATTTTGCGTGTTCAACAAACGGAATGTCATCTTTAGTCCATTTTTGTAAGACCAGTCCGCAACAAAAACATTCGACTATGTCAGCAGTTCCTGAATACTTAAATCCAGCCTCAGATAACGAATATTTATTTTGACATAAAGTAGGTGCAAATGAATTATACGTTTTTAATCTCGATAAAAATGTAGTAAAATCTGAATGCACTAGATACGAATTATTTCTAACTAAATAAACCAATGAAGGAAAATCGTTAGAAAACTTCTGTAAATTCATGGTTTTTAATAAAACTTAAAATAATTGGTTTAAAAAAATCGATTCAATAAGATAATGCACTGAAAACTCAAGCTTCGATACAACTTCTAAAATAATGGTTTCCACAAAAAAATTTAAAAATATTCAATTCTAAGTATTTTTTTTTTTTTTTTAAATGCCGGAAACGAAAAAAATGTAGTTTTTGAAGTTTTTTATCAATAATTTAAAAACGAAGTTTGTCCGGGTTTTTTTTACATTCTCATAAAGTACCCTAAAATACACATTTTGGAAAAAAAAAATTTTGAAAAATCGATAGGTTGCCAAACCAGAATTATGCCACTAAATTCACTAATTCTACATGAAAGCTGTTTAAAATTTTCCATTTTTGAAAAACAACAACAGTTTCGACAGAAAAGTACGTTTAATGGCCTATCTGCAACGCCTTATAATTGTAAAATTGCCTTTGAAATGCTTTGAAAATAAATTATATTCATTGTAATCATGACGCATCTCCATAGATGTTTATAAATCATTATACATTTATGCGTTTGGCAATAGAAACAACACGAGAATCTAGAACAAAATCTCCAAATTTATCCGTTTTTACATGAATTAGTAGATTGCAATTTACTTTCCAATAAAATTAGCTCAAATATCCCAAATTAGTAATTACTAATAGTAAAATAAATTATATTAATATATAGTAATAATATCACAAATTATCCTTCACAGTCATTAGTCAAACCACTCAAACCCCTGCGTTGAGATTTTTATTGTTGTTGATATTTTTATATTTCATCTTCAAAAAATTAAAAAAGTTATAAAGTTGTAAAATAAAATTTAAAGTTAACACAGTCAATGGGGGGGGGCTATAGCCCCCTTAGCCCCCTGGCTACGCCTTTGCTAAGGTGTACGAGATACGAACGCTGATGTCGTGCAACAGCGTCAATGGCTCTGGAACTAGAAAATGCTCCAGCATCATTATTCACAACCACAGGCCAGGGGATGATGTGGAGATTGGAAATTTTTTGGTTACTCTAAGAAGTAGAGTGGCTGCTGAGAGTACGTCACCAAGGATAATTTATGAAGAGAAATCTAGAAGGTAAAATAATAATATTACATTTTAATAAAAAATAATTGACTTAAAAATGCTAATAGATATTGTTTATTAATATTTTACTTTATACATTACTATGTGCCCAAGGGGAAAGCAACCACTAACCAGCAGTGTCTAAAATGTTCCTAGACCCTAGTTATAAAAAAACCATATGACAAATTATACTTGCAGGTCGCTTACGTTCTGTGGAACGAACAGTAAGAAGGGAGACCCAACAAATTATAAATGGTCACCAGGTAAATATATATCATATGTCTATAACAAATCATAGAAAACATGCAATATTTTGTATGGTATTTTTATTATTAGGTAAGACACAGGTCTTACCTAATAATAAAAATATTTGAATATATAAGAGTATAATTATTTTAAGTCATTCTATTCCATTAAAAATATAATAACTAGGACTGAAATTGATATTTTCCCAAATTAACTATTTAGTTCACAACACTTTTAAAATAAAGGTACAGATTGTATATATAAAACAAGTAAAAATACTGATAAACATAGAATTTTAGTAAAATAAAAATAAAATTATATTTTCAAATTAATGAAAACCATATTATAACTTGTACATTTTAATTAACTTACTTTATACTAAACTAATTTCAAAACCATGGAACTTAACCGGTTATAACTTATTATTCTATTAACTTAATTACTAATTTTGTTTCAGGTCCGAACGTCAGTTTTAACCAGCAGGGACACAAACAACAAGTTATTGGAAAGAGCATACCAAAATGTTAGGAATGGACGATTTGACGTCTCAGCATTTCTCAGGCGGGTTGCTTACAAAGCAAGAGGATACTGCAACGAGCAAATAGGCCACATACCAATGGCACACATACCCTTGCTAAATTATTTGCAACTATAATAATCTAAATATTTAAAATTAGACAACCAATTAGACCAAAACATGGGACAATTTTTTTTGTTAACGAATGTACAGCTTCAACAAGGTAAATAGTCAATAATAATTACAAAATGTACAGTTTAAATTGATTTATTATATTTTCAATTTATAAATTGAAACATTTAAAAACAGTTGGTTTTAGTTAATTGTTTATTTTTTTTTTAAATTTTGTAATACTTAATTTATAATTTTCTATTAACATAATATTATAGAGAGTGAAAATTCTGAAATGTTGGCTGTAGCAATACCACTAATGCCAGGTGGCAGGTACCAATATTTATAATTTATAAATTTAAAGAAATCACCATTTTTCATATAAATCAGAATCAAACATAATTGTATTCTGTTATTTTTATCAGGTGAAGAATACGACCGTTGCTTTGTGAGCCTTAGTGGTAGGAATGAATACATTGGATCTGTCAACATTCTTTTCCATGTAACCATTGATGGTGTTGTGATAATTGTGGTCAACAACAAACTAACTGTGAAATTTGCAAGACACCAATAGACGACACCTTCAGTATGCCCATAATGTAAGGAAATGGTAATGCCAACTACATTTAAATTTAATATTCAATATTTTTATTATAATAATTATAAGATAATTATTTTATTGACATGATGATCAGAATTTACTATTTTTAACAATGTTCACATATAGGTAAATATACATAATAGTTGATAATATAGTAGGCGTATACAGTATAGGTACCTACATTTTTTTCAATGACTTAGAATATTATGTTAACTATATTATGTATATGTTACTCTATATTGCACGTTTATACGAGGAAATAGATTTATCATAAAATTATGATCAATCAGTATACAATAGGTACACACACATAAAATAACTATAGAATAATATTATACTCCTTTTCAAAAGAGAATATACCGCTATCGAGGTAGAAAAATATTTTTGGCGGTTCATTAAATTCTCCCCCTCATGTCAAATTCAAACCACTGCCTATTGCCAACTCCGGATATAGTATAATATGCTATGACTAGCCATGAGGACAATTGCAGAGGCCCACCCAGTGATAAAGCTTGTTTTCTCTATTTTTTTTTATTTAATGACTATAATAAGCAAATAATTAGGCATAGGTATATATTAAACATTTAATGATGATAAAGATTGGAGGTTTTAAATATTCGATTACTTACTAACTAACACTCTTTGATTATAGGCCAATGGGTAAATAATTTGAACAGTTTATTGGACCCAACAGGCAGCAACTGCCTTTGTTGTTTGAGGGCCTTTGGAGATGTACCCGAAACCCAATGGCATACGGTATGTGTAACAAAAATGTGGCCATGGTTGGAGATGTGAAGATTGTACTATCCCTCGTCCAAACAAAACAACTGTGAAGTTTGTGATGACGCTGTTGAGATGTCATCCAAATATTTATTTGGTAAATTTATTAATTATACAAATATTCTTGTTACTAATTTGGAGTTGCATACTTATATAAAAAAAAAAGTGCTTTGCTGTACAGTAGGTTACAAGTGGGTCACAAGTGGTGTATAATGGATGGTATTAAATTTGAATTCAATGATATAATATCATTGTATAAGAAAAACGATTCTGAGCGGTATGTCAGTCTAGGTATAAGATATATTATATACACATCTATGGTATTAAAAAAAAATTGACCTATAATAGTTAGATAGGTACCTAAAATAAATTCCAGATTAATCATATCACAATATCAATTAGGTAATTCATTAATACAGAGTTTTATTAGTAATGAACAATATGATTAGGGCAGAGGACTTGTAGCTCTAAAAAAGCACTAATATTCAATCATTTGTATGCAACACAAAATCCTATAATATGCACTTAAAAATTTTTTAAATTTTTTTTAAAAATCATAATCGAATAAAAGCCTGCATGTGGGGCACACGACTCTATGTGGCGGTGATTTCGTATGGTGAATTAATTTAACTTTTAAAAAATAAAAAACTGGTGATTAATGTATTGACTATGGAAGTGTGTCAAAATCATTTTATGTGGACGTAAGGCAGTAGTTCTCAACCTTTTTTGATTCATGTTACCTTTGGCCACTCAAACACTGCGTCACCCTAACTAGGTACACGTGTTTATCGGACCAAAAGATTAAATATAAATAATACAAACTATTATAAAGATACGAACTTTGAGGTATGTTATGTACATGGCAGTGGTGGTATAGGTGTATAATATATTTATTATAAGAAATAACATGATTGTTTTCGAAAAAATTAATTTTTTAAATTTTTTTTTCTTTTCTTGTTAAAATTCTGCGTCACCCCTAAGCTAGGTCCATGACACCCTAAGGTGACATGTCACCCCGGTTGAGAACTACTGACGTAAGGCATTGTCCTTTGTCTCCATTGAACACAGCCTCCTGGCTGTATTATACTGGCAGTAGCTTCAAAACATCGTGCTGCCATTAAACAATTGGTCCGAGAATGAGTCCGTCGGAATAATCCAAGTGACCGGAAGATTATCCGTAGAGTATAAGAAAAGAGATGTGTGCATGCCGAGAGGAAAAAAAGTAGACCGAGGACCGAGAGGGTCGTCTCCGTGTAGGTGGATATATACCTAAGGCATAGCAAAATTTGTCATCCCCACTTATTTGCTGCGCAATATCTGCATTGTCTTGTGTGTTCTTCTATATTATAATATTAGTATGTGTTTGTAATTGGACGATTATTGTATGATATTATTATTTATGGATGATCGAGATGCAATTATTATTGCGTAATACTCATGTGAATCTAGGTCGCTAGATATTGATTAATGTTATATTTGTATAATGTCAATTTGTGAATTATGAATTTATATGATATGAGTTTAATAAGGAATGTTAATTTATTTATACAAATAATTTAATTGCGTATTATATGTGCATTGTGCCACATCCAAAATATATTCATATTGGAGATTCATCTTACCGTTTATTCATATTATAATGTATATTTTATTGTTATTTATATATTATAATCATA